CAATCTACATTCCCAGAATTTTCCGGGGGAAAACCCCCAGACCCCCCGCCGGTGTGCGTACACATCCATTTCACCATAGCTACGCCCCTGGCATCGCTTTTCCCAATTCGATATAAAATGTCGATAAAACTACGGAGTTATAAATGTCATGTCACGTGCCAACCAGTGAAGCAGATTAGCAGAATTTAAAACTGTACGTCATGTATGATCATGAGGCCAGTACGTAACATCCAGTGCTGTCACTTATACTAAACCGAATTAGAATCATCTTTATGCGGATTTCTGCTGTCCAGTGTTCGAAATAAGGACTATCCGTTTGTCCTCACTTGTCCATTTCCACGGAACACAAGTAGACCTGTCCAGTAGCTTGTCCGCTAGACAAGCAGCTTTTTAGAGCAATTTTTCATCATTTTCTACCATCGCTTCAACAAGTAATAACTTAAAATAAATAATTGTGCTTCTTTATGTTCTTTCAAGTTTGGTGCCCAATTTGAACTTAGTGAACTGTATTAAAATTACAAAGTAAGATAATGGGTCTAAAAATTAATTTGATTAAATGTATTACACTATATTTTTATATTTCCATTCGGGACAAGCAAAAATATATTGTAGCTTGGCCGTCGGACAAGCAATTTTTTTTCCATATTTCGAACACTGCTGTCACATAAGCTTTGCATGACAAATGAACATTTGCACATTAACCTGTAATTCTGCTGTTACCACGGTTACTCTTCGCTGCATGCTAAGAAGGTAAGAAATGTAAAGGTTCTACTATTAGTATGTGCCATTTCATCTCAAGAATTACAAATACTTTTTTCTCTCATTAATTTATAGCTAGATGTTTGTTACCGTGTGGTATTTTTCTCTCTCAATCGTACACATACAATACTATCAAACGTTTGTTATCGCGTGTTGTGTACTCAAGTGATTTTTTTTCATCTCATAGAATAAAGATATTATTTGTTTAATTTAGACACACCTCAATCAGCTATCTTTTTATTAATAACCCTACTACAGATGAAATAAGGAGTGTCCCTATTGGCACTCACAACTTAGAAAGTTGCTTTGTCATCACCCATATCGCCTATATACCCTGTAGCGCTATACTATATACACTCGCAACAAAAATCCGTCAGTTTAACTTTTCAGATTATTAAATACTTGTAAGCTGAAACAACACAAACAAATAACAGATTCTATCTCGATCTAAAAACGTAAAGCGAAAATTTATTAATCAGCCAGGAAGTCATGCAGTTCGTTGTTTTCCTCTTCTCGAAACGTTTATTCGTTCATTTAGCTTTGTGTTCTTCGTTCTCCGTCGTAAAATCACAACCAGGTGGCGCCACACAGCGGCATTACGTGACCTCCGCACGAGCGAGTGATCTCGCGGCGACCTTCACTCGACAGGTTGTCACTCAACAGTCAGACAGGTTGTCACTCAACAGTCAGACAGGTTGTCACTCAACAGTCAGACAGGTTGTCACTCAACAGTCAGACAGGTTGTCACTCAACAGTCAGGCAGGTTGTCACTCACAACAGTCAAGCAGGTTGTCACTCACGTCAGACGGTTGTACGTACAACAGGATCAGGCAGGTTGTCACTCAACAGTCAGAGGCTTGTCACTATACCAACAGTCAGAGCAAGGTTGTCGACTCAACAGTCAGGCAGGTTGTCACTCAACAGTCAGGGCAGGTTGTCACTCAACAGTCAGGCAGGTTGTCACTCAACAGTCAGGCAGGTTGTCACTCAACAGTCAGACAGGTTGTCACTCAACAGTCAGCGGTTGTCACTCAACAGTCAGGGCAAGGTTGTCACTCAACAGTCAGGCAGGTTGTCACAACAACAGTCAGCAGGGTTGTCACTCAACAGTCAGACAGGTTGTCACTCAACAGTCAGGCAGGTTGTCACTCAACAGTCAGGCAGGTTGTCACTCAACAGTCAGGCAGTTTGTCGTTTTCCTCTTCTCAGAACTCATTTCGTGTCGGTTCTTCGGTCTTCGTCTTAAAATCACAACCAGGTGGCGCATGTGACCTTCACTCGACTTCTCGCGTCTCCAGGCGCCAGCAGAACTCCGCAGACGTAGTGTATCTGCATAGAAGTCGCCACACCTTACGCACGGCACTTCACTCGACCTTCTCCCGTCCTCCCGCCGCCGCTCCTCCAGGCGCGCAGAAAGAATGCACAGACGTATGTATCTGCAATGAAGTCGCCACACTTCACTCGACCTTCTCCGTCCTCAGCCGGCCGCTCCTCCAGCGCGGCCAGAAGAACTCACAAGACAGTATGTATCTGCATGAAAGGTCGCCAACACCTTCGAGCAGGAAGTGCCCGCCTGACCGTGCGCGGAAGACCGCGCGTGGCTGGGCCGCAAGCTCGTAGTACGCAAAAGCCCATATGAGCATACGAACCCGGCGCAGCAAGACCGGACCGCCGGCGGCGCATCGCGCGAGCGAGCCGCGCCAGTTTGCCGCGACGATGGCTGCACGAGCGCGCCGCGGCGACGCGGCGACGACGTGGCCACAGCAGAGCGCCAGCCTCGAAGTCCGACCCGACGGCCGAGCGCGAGGACGTAGCTCGCAGGCCGACGCATACGAGCAACCGCGAGTCCACATCCTCTCCCCCGCGCCGCCGCCGCCACCGCCGCCGTCCACGTGCGCGGCCCACGGCACGACCCACGCGAAGATGGGCAGCGTGACCCACTGGTCGAGGGCGGCGGTGGGGCGCGACCGCGCGAGCAGCCGCGTCGTCTGCACGGGGCCGTAGAGCGCCGCCGCGATCGCGAACACGTAGAACATGTAGGCGTCTGCGGCGCGCAGGATGCCGGCGCGTTCCGCCGCGCGCGCGCGCGCCGCCCATGCGACGCCGACGACGATGTAGCCCGCGTTGACGAGTGTGTTGGCGGGCATCGCGAGCCAGCCGGGCGGCGAGTACCAGAGCGGACGCTCCGCGTAGTGCTCGAGACCGACCTCGACGGTGGCGCCGTCTAGCAGACCGCTGGCGGCGACGGCGATCGCGGTCGCCGCGGCGACGAGCGTGTGAGCGAGGGCTCGATAGAACATGGTGAGGTCGCTGTGGAGGCGGCGGTGGCCCACGATTCGAGCGCGCGTGTCTGTTTACACTGAAACATTATTGATATCATCAAGAGCTAATAACACATTAAAATAATCATACATAATAAGGTATTATTAGCTCTTGATATTATATATATATATTGATATTGATATCAGAGCAGTGAGGCGATCCCCTAGAAGCAGACCGTATTACTTCTACACGAGACAAAAGTGAGGAAGACAAAGAGAATAGAGTCTAGCAGCACTGCCTGCTGCAACAGGGCAAGCTAAACATACATCCGGCACAAGAAAATGACCACTTTTCACACACATCTAACACGTCGGTCACGATTCGAACCGCGATATTACTGACAATAGCTTTAGTTACATATAGAAAATCAAAGTTCTGTCAACTACGTACATTGCCAAAGTAGGAAGTCAGTAGTCAGAAGTGAGAAGTCACTAGAATCAGGTGCCTGCAACGACACTAGCATCTAATTGTTAAGTAACTATATAATGTCACTCGAGAGATAGGGGAAAAAGGATGATAAACGACAAGAGAATCTAGTAGAAAAGAATTAAGTAAAAGTGTACATGTGTATGTATAAAAGTGTCGTATAGTGTGCGAGGGCTTACGACGCGACTCGGATAGTGTGCCATAATAGTGGTGACCAATCACAAGAGCAGCGCCATGGGAACCGCTATTCGGTAAAAATGCGCGGGAAAACACTCCCGACCCATTAGTACACGCTAACTCTGCTTGGAACGCCACGAGAGCTGCCATAGCGTTTGGCCGCCAACTTTGAGTCGGACAGTGTGCGAGGGGCTCCGATCGCATCGGGGAGCGGGTCGTATAATTGTGCGGAGGGCACAGTGCTGTGCACAGTGCAAAAATCGTATAGTGTTGCAGCTAGCATTACTAGAGACAACTATACAATTTATTAAGTGCCTACCATACAAAGAGAACACTACGGCTCAGAAGAGCTTAGATCAAGTATAAAAAACAGTATGATCATTGGTTACACTCTTTGCTATAAGACATTATTATATACGGTAATAACACAAGATGCGAACATATCATGCCAAGTATCAAAATATCAAAAACAAGAGAACAATCTCACGATATGCCATCGATGAGTAGAGATGGTAGGCTACCTCTACTACACACTGTGTTACCTGTATACATACATGTCCAGACGATGACAGGGGTCGAAATTAGCGGTATCCGATATCCGCCGGGATACCAGATTCTTGTGTTGGATACCAGATGTCAATGCTTGGTATCCCGCCGGTAGTAAAAAAAAAATCAGGCCAAAATCGGGGTTAGTGGTTGTTGAGTTATCAACTTTATACCGGCAGCGCATCTGAGCGACGTGCCGCGCAGAGTGCGGAGAGCGCGAGTGCGCACCCTTACTATGCCCACATAGCGGTTTATCCACACAGCGTTATCACTAGCGTTATCCACTCGACCACAATAATTTTGCAATTTTACAGCAGGCATAGCATATTTGCAAGCGCAAGACGTAATAAGCGTGGCCGATGTTGATAAACACAAAATGTCATGTGTATACATTGTATCAAAGCGAACACAGACAATGCGGGCAACCAATCCGTCTGCAGTGTCGCTGTGGCAGGCGTATGTAAAATGAACGCGGAGCAACATTGCGCAAAACATTTGAAATTTTATGACATGGCTGCGTGATTTTATTCGCAATATATACCTTTATTGATGTAGTTATTAGAATACCGCTCACAGGAGTGAACTACAATATCAGGCGATCGGTACATCGCCTCCCGGCTATGGTACTGGTAGGATACCCGAGTGTTTTGCCGCTCGAGAATGCACTCAGCCCACTAACGATTAGGCGCGGGAGTATATGCTGAGCACGTACTGGTATTGCGTGCATTGTGGAAAGGGCTGCGCTTCGCTCACTCTGCTGCTTCAGATTTGTTCCTGTTTTTTTAACCACACTCACAGGCCTGTTGTTTTTCATTCAGTAATTATCATAATTCGTATAAGATTAGACAGTTCAGAAATTAAATACTACAACTTTGACCCAGCAATACATCTGTGGAATAGTTCAGCAGTTCGTACTCGGCGACCACGTCAAAATGTCTGGATAAAACGTGCATTAGAAGAAGACCAGAATGCTGAATATGTAGATTCTGATGACTCAGAATCTGAGTCCAATGCCAGTAGTGCATATTGTGGTTTTGATGGCTATATTAGCTGTAGAGTTAGCTCTAGAGCGATAGCCCTCCGCTCCGCCGCAGGAGTGGGGGGCTATAGTTCTAGAGCTACTGTAGAGTCTACTGTTCTATTTGACTCTGCATCGATAAACCGGTCTGTGCATATCTTTAAACAAGTTTTCATATTATGGTTATATGGTTTATAGTTCAAGTATTTAAGTTATGTATTCGGGTCTGTGCGTTCGTGTGTTGGTGTGAGTGTTCGCGCGATCGATATTAGCGCGTCAGCGAGCGAGCCAGCCACAGCCGGCTGCCCTGACTGAGCGGCGCGAGCGAGCATACATGTACGTTGGCGTATATCGTGGGTTATTCGTGTGTTCCTCAGTCGTATGGCGAATGGCGTATGTCGCTGGCGGAGGTATGCACTCTCCGTGAGTGCCCTCTGTCTAGTTATATATAATGCTGATACATTTGTCCTGGTGTGATTAATAGTTATGATAGTTGGTTATTATAGTCAGTGAGTCAATGCTGCTGCCTATGTATTATTTTCATGTGACTTGAGGACAAACACTATTTTGGTGATAGAGCTATAGCAACAGCGATTGCAAAACTGCAGGAGACGCTGTGTCTGTTGTACTGCACCATCCTTAACATGGTCATCTGCTGTTCTATTGACTGCGCTCATAAGCCTGTCTGTGCATATCTGTGAATCTGTTTTCATGTTTTTATATAATAATTACATTACATATTAATATTTTCAAATCTATTAATTGAGATACTAGCTGCTATATAAAGCCTACTATTTCAAGATTTTGGATACCAACATTTTTTAAATTACTATCCCATAAATGGGATACCAGATCTTTGGGGGATACAGATTTCAATACCTAGTATCCCGAATGGATACCAAAATAAAACCTCTAATTTCGACCCCTGGATGAAACATGACGACCTGTACGTTTATAGTCACACCAGGCGATTAGTACAGTATCAGACAAGACAAGACAAGACAAGACAGACTAGCTCTAGTAACTATAGCCCGCGTACAGTTGTCGCAGGCCTGCCGCCAAACTGCATGCAGTGCCCCCTTCGTACAACTCGGGATATCACTGCCGCAAGGCTAGCACTTATTTTTAAAGTGGCGGAGCTCCGGTAAAATCCAGCGAATAGCAATTCGTAAACAGCGTATGCATAATTTGAAAGAGGTAAATGGGCGCACAACCCGCGCACTATTTCTTATCACTATTTCATCAAATTTTTCATGAAATAATGGTCAGATTTTAATATCTTGCAATTTTATTAGTACAAATCTTATTACATATGATACGAGTAACCTGGCCGCCTGTAAAACTTGTGGTAAAAAAGCGTTAGAAATTCTCTCACGAAATCTACTTGTGGCAGTGGTGAATTGAGCTAGAACGAGAGCGCCATCTGTCGTGGAGTTTGGCCTGCCGCCTGCGGCAACTGTACGCGGACTAAGAGGGCGTTACTAGAGCTAAGACAAGACAAGACAAGAATATATTATATTGGTACAATCACCAGTATCAGATACAAATAATGTAACCCAACACAAGAGTAGGGTACATCCTACTCGATCTTGTGTTGTGCTACATTATTGTATGTATCTAGAAACATTGTTTAAATTAATAGTTATAGAATCGTATCCTAAATCTTAGCCACAGGCCACAAGCCACCTTGGTTCAGCACAGGCACTTGGAACGTCTCAATAAAAAAAAAAGTAAATAAACGCGAAATGTATTTACTACAAAGTCTCAATGTTCTCTACTTCTATGTCGCCTATTATTGCCGATAATTACCCGTAAATGCCAGTCAAATGCTCATCTGCAACACACAAGTACACCGCATGCCCCCCTGTGCACAAACAACATGAATAGAGAGCAGGTAGGAAAGCGTGATCGCAAAATTCGATCGACGCTCGCTTCATTTCACACCTTCACAGCACGAAATACACATCCAACAGCTTCCATCTTGGTATCTATGTGTAGCTAAATGTTCACTTGTTCGAATTATAACTCTGTCCTTTGTCCTTACCTACTCCCGCAGAGAATATCTCGTGAAATCCAGCAGGAAATGTTCTCTCCGTGAAAATGTAAAGAGGATGTAAGAGGACGACGGATGTCTGTTTATACACGCGTAATGCCGCGCAGCATTGCATGCCGAGATGAGCTTCTGCCTGCCTCCGAGCCTTCGTTTCGAGGCCGCCAAGCCAAGCATAATGCGCGCGGGCATGACGTCACGCACACACGACTACAGTGATCGATCGAAAGTAGCGCGCCGTTAGGATTTTCGGATGATACGTCCTCTTACATCATCTTTACATTTTCACGAAGAGAAACATTTCCTGCAGGATTTTCAACGAGATATCTCTGCGGAGTAGGTAATGACAAAGACAGAGTTATAATTCGAACAAGTGAACATTTAGCTACACATAGATACCAAGATGGAAGCTGTTGGATGTGTATTCGTGCCTGTGAAGGTGTGAAATGAAGCGAGCGTCAAGCATTTGCCGATTCACGCTTTCCTACCTGCTCTCTTATTCTGTGTTGTTTGTGCACAGGGCGGCCAAGCAATGTACTTGTGTGTTGCAGATGAACATTTGACCGCGCATTTACGGGTAATTATCGGCAATAACAGCGCGACATAGAGTAGAGAAACATTAAGACTTTGGTAGTGAATACAGTTTCGTGTTTATTTACCTTTTTTTATTATTGAGACGTTCAAGTGCCTGCTGCCTGGTGTGGGTTCAAGCGATGGATTTACACAGGCCACTTGGAAACGTTCTCAATAAAAAAAAAAAAGGTAAATAACACGAAATGTATTTACTACCAAAGTCTTAATGTTTCTCTACTCTATTTCACCTATAATCACCTTGTAAATGCCCGGTCAAAATGCTCATCTTCAACACACAAGTACACCGCACGCCCGCGCTGTGCACAAACACATGAATAAGAGAGCAGGTAGAAAGCCTGATCGCTAAATTTCTCGACGCTGCGCTTCATTTCACACCTTCACAGCACGAATACACATCCAACAGCTTCCATCTTGGTATCTTATTGTTACATAAATGTTCACTTGTTCGAATTATAACTCTGCCCTTTGTCCTTACTGCTCTCCCGCCAGAGATATCTCGTGAAATTCCTGCAGGAAATGTTCTCTCCATGAAAATGTTAAGAGACGAGATGTCTGTATTATACACGAGTAATGGGGCGCATTGCATGCCGGGATGAGCTTCTGCCTGCCTCGAGCTTCCGTTTCGAGAGCCCGCCAAGCCAAGCATAATGCGCGCGCGGCATGCATGCCGTCACGCCACACACGACTACAGCAATCGATCGAAAGTAGCGCCGTTAGGAATTTTCGGATGATACGTCCTCTTTACATTTTCACGGAGAGAACATTTCCTGCAGGATTTCACGAGATATCTCTGGCGGGAGTAGGTAAGAACAAAGCCCACAGAAGCGAATTTTTTTTTCACAACACAGTTTTTTTCCTAACCTTAACCCTCATCCCAACCCTAACCGTAACCCTAATCTTAACCTAACCCTAAACAAAAAAATAAAAAAATAAAAAAATAAAAAATAAAAGAGATGGAAATCGAACCAGCGACCTTCCAGACGTAACGCTCGCACTCTACGAGCTCAGCTATTCAGCATTATTGAAAATATCACACGACATATGCTAAATAAGGAAATACCCTGGTCTGTGGTCGAACTGTTGTGAAAAAAAAATTCGCAGCAGAGTTATAATTCGAACAAGTGATCGAACATTTAGCTGTTGGATGTGGATTCGTGCTGTGAAGGTGTGAAATGAAGCGAGCGTCGAGCTAATTTCGCGATCAGGCTTTCCTACCTGCTCTCTTACTCTTAGTCTTATTATGATATTATCAGGATATTGATAGACTCCTTGTTTGCGCACAGCGCGGGCGTGCGGCGTACTTGTGCTGAGAGGGTCTATGTCCCCCGGGGTACTGCCGGAACGGGCGCAAATCCACTTTAGGCACCTTAGGTATCACGAAGTGATGCACAGATTTCTGTGTATCATCAACTGATGCACAGACTTTCCGTATATCAAGGAATGATGCAAAAACCCTAACCCTAATCCTAAGTCATAAAGTATAACCTTACTCCTTAGGTATCACGAAGTGTGTTAGGGTTAGGGTTAGAGTTTTTGCATCATTCTTTGATATACGAAAATTCTGTGCATCAGTTGATGATACACAGAAATCTGTGCATCACTTCCTGATACCTAAGGTGCCTAAAGTGGATTTGCACCGCCGGAACATACCCTGGGTACCAGGGCTCGAATTAAGCGACGCGAAGGGCAAGGCAATTTTTTTAGGGCATGTGAGAAATCGCCTTGAATTTTCTCTAAAATGGAAGGGCACAGAGGCAATTTTATAAGGCACCAAGGCAACTCTCAAAATTTGAGAAGGGCACAAAGGCACTTTTGTAAAATAAAGGAAAACTCATCACAAATTAGTACATCAACATCGTCTTGCTTTTAATGTACAAAACAATATGCCCCTATGTAAGCTTACAC